CCTTCATCTGCTCTGTGTCTGGTCACTGGAACACAATATGTCTATGGTTCTCTTTAAGTGTTTGAAGGTGGAATAAAGCTCTCCTTAAACTTTCCTCTTTGTGTATTCAGTCTGTTTTCATATCACAGTCCTTAGGGAACGTTCATTTTCTTAGCTTCTATTTAAAATGTGTGAGGGCAGCTTGCTTCCCTTCCAAAAACTGTCCTGAAGGAAAGGGAGTTTCTATTCTGAGGAGAGAGGCAAGGAGATGCCATCGGGAGCAGGCAGGATCAAGGGTCAGCTCCAAGCTTAGAAAAGATGATTAGTAGGGAAAAAAAAGACGTAGCAATTTGAGGACTTTAGAAAGTGTTTTAATAGCAAATGCTTGCTGTATAAGCATGAGGACCTGAGTTTGTATTTCCAGCATTATCCTCATTTGTTACACAGTTGTTTATTGTCTTGGTCTTTAAGTTAGATAGATATTGAGAATTATATAGATTAATAGTCATCTAAAGTTTGTCATTTATAATTAGACTAATCAGGTTCTTTAGATATATAGAGATTATACTCAGTATAGATAGATACTTGCCTGTAATCCCAGTGTAGGGGAGGTGTACCAGGCAGATTCCTGGAGCATGTTGTCTAGCTAGCTTAACTGAATCTGCAAGCTCCAGGTATGCAAGAGATCCTGTCTCAAAAAATGAGGTGGACGAGAGACTAAGGAAGACACACACATGCACACACGCATGCACATGCACACACATTGAGTAGCTATGGAGCCCTAGCTATATGCTTACTTGGCAGTTTGCTTGATTTTCTTGCTTCATCGAGAGGTAAAATAACTTGTCTAGAAAATAGTAGTCAGGTTTGAATTTAGTATCCTAGGCATGTGATTTTTTTCTTTCTTCTTCCTTTCTTGCTTTTTTTCTTCTCCCTCCCTCCCTCTCTCCCTCCCTCCCTCCCTCCTTCCCTCTTTCTCTGAGATGGAGTCTTGCTGTGTAGCTTAGACTGGGCTTAAGCTCACAGTCCTCCAGCCTCAGACTCCTGTGTACCATCAGGCCTGGATAACTCAGGCTTCTTCTTTACTAGCTTTCTATAAGGAAGATGGGAAATTGTTTTATCTTGGATCCAGTTAATATTCATTCAAATGGAACCAAGCTTCTACAGCTTTTAGGAGTGTGGAAGAACCAGATGTCAACATTTCAAAGACATTTTTACACTAGGTTTCTGCTCTGAAGTATCTGAGACCCCTAAAGAAAGCTTCTGTGCTTCAGTGCCTTCCAGATGTTTCTGGCTGTTTCATTCAGCTTGTCCCTCTCCTTGGGGAGAAGGGCTTGTAGAGCTGAACACCAGGGTCAAGATGAGGTCAGTCTAGAACAATGAGTGAGACTTCACTGAAGGTTCAAAGGTATTATACTGGAATTACAGAAAAATCCTGACCCTGAATAGGTCAGCCTATTTTCCTAATTGCCGGGCAAGATTTTTCAGGGTTACCGTTAGAGCAGGTCTTCCCTGCAATTCCCAGCTGGGTATCAGGACAGTTTTCCTGACTTTGTACACAGTGAGCCAGGGACACCTGTAAGACATCATCTCCCACAAGAAGGAATCTCAGCGGGCATGTGGGCGCTTGCCTTTAATCCCAGCACCAGGGAGGCAGAGGCAGGCAGATCTCTGAGTTCTAGGCCAGCCTGGTCTACATAGCAAGTTTCAGGACAGTCAGATCTACGTAGAGAGAGAGAGAAAAAAACAAAGCAACAACAACAACAACAACAACAATAACAACAAAAAGGAAACAAACCCCCAAACTACAACACAACAAAAAAGAGCAACTATGCCCTCAAAGTGAAGTCCTATCTGCAGAGTCACTCACTGTCCACTCAGCTGGGCACTGTGGGAACACTTGTGCTCTATAGCTCCTTTCAAGTCTCACTCTCGGGATAGAAGCTCAACCTTACCATGGCATTTAAAATAAAATAAAAGTTTTCAACAAACAAAACAATTATGCCCTCAACTATACCTGTAGTCTATGGATACTGAAAACTGTATATCATATCTCAGCAAGGACCTCAATATACAAATCACAGTTAGCATGTTACCACAGAAACAAACTAGTACTTTCCAAAGAGGACACGATTAGGTATTCACTCACGTGTGCAGAGCTAGACTGTCACTTGGGCTTCCTTCCAAATGACATTCATTATAATTGAACATTGCTTTTACTATGAGAATCTGTGGAAGTCACTGAAGATCTCATACTGTTGGTTCTGAAGCCATAAATCAACAATTCTCAGTTACACTCAAAATGAGCTCTAATGTTTCTAGAATTTTAAATACCACAGAAGTTTGAACTTATCTCAGTGCAACTTTGACACTGATACCATTTCCAGCCTCTTCCTGGCAGATGTGAGCTGGAGAGTGAAAGAGCCTAGACACCAGAGGGACCTGCAGGAGGGGAAACGAAGGTGTGGTTTTGGTGCCTGGCTTCAAAGGCTAGAGGCAACGCTGAGCCCAGCCTATTTCTTTTTAGCTAGACTAATTTCTGTACAGAGAGCAAACCACTCGCCAAAGTCAAACTTCCCCACATGAGTTTTAGTTTAACAATGCCCCAGTTTCCAAGCTATCGTCTTCTAATCTTTGTAACTGTGCTGAGGAAGCAAGCATAGCCAGGGTGAGTGAAGGGCCAGCAGAGCACTATGCGGCGTCCTGCCCTGCAGCTGGCTTCTCATGGAGTCACCGCTCCTTTCCCCACCGTTCTCTCCCTCCTTCCCTCTTTTCCTTTTCTTCTAGTTTTTGATGTAGTTGTATTTATTCATTTTCTGACAGCTAGGGACAGAAATGAAAGACTAAAAGATTTCTTTCCTTTAAATAAATCTTTCAGTGAATGAAACTGAATGTCTTCAGTCCTTGATAACTAGCTAGCTATTTTACACGTTCTTGTTTCTCAGATCTTCTTGATAATAGAGCCCCTTCCCTGTGCGGCTACCAAGGACAGGTATCCAGTAACTTCTCTCCCACCTCATGTACTCACTGCATCAGAATCACACTGGACCCAACGGCAGTGAGAAGCTCTTTAGTTGAGAATGGGGGAATTAAAAGATAAAGTCAGATCACTACAGACAATTTTTAAACTTTAAGGATCATTGTCAATTTTAGGCTAAGTTTCTAATAAAAGTAAACATAAATTGCGAGCTAAATTCTTTTAAACAGAATGGTTCCTTCTGAAATCCAGATTGACTAATTACTCTGTACAATTCATTTGCTCTGTAAATCAAAGACCCTCGAGATGTGAAGTCCCTGTGTGTTCACAGCTCGTGGTGACTCAGCTCGTCAACTGTGAGACAGCCCCCTGCAAAATCCTGACGACCTGCGCAGCTCAAGAGCTCTTCCTTACTCTTAGCCAAACTGACCTCTTGACGCTTTTACAGATTTGGTCTTGGATCTGCCCTCAGGAGAGACACAAAATAAACCTAATCCCTCTACTAGACAGCAAATCTCCTTATGTTATTCTCTTAAAAGAAATTATGATGACTCAGGCTACACTTCTATCAAGGATATAATAAACCCAATTACCTTTCCCCTCCTGCTCCTTTTAGTGGCAGAGCAGGCTTACATGAAACTACTTAATACACTAGGCAGGGAAAATCCAACCCCCTCTTCCACCACAGTCTTTGGTGCTTTACTCAGGTTTAAGGCTTCAATTGATACTCAGCCCTATGTCCTCAGAAACAAACTAAAGTCCAGCAAAGGGCAGTGCTAGACAGGCAGGCTACTTTGACTTTCCTCTGTACCACAGATTTCTGCAGACTAAGGTACATCCGGCCCAGAGATACTCTTTTGTCAAAGGTCATATGATCTCAACTTCTATGATAGAATCCTAAGAATTTTCCACAGGACTCAGCCCTGACAGTTTGGTTAGGTTCAGTTAAACCATACTGTGTGATAAGCACTCAAATGCGGAGAGCCACACTGCCTTGGAGAAATACTGATCTAAGGGAGAAGAGCAGCAAGTGTGAGATACGACGAGAACGCCCTGCAGGCCTGGCGAATGGCTCAGTGCATAAGGACACTTGCTGCCAAACCTGACGACCTAAATTCAGTCCCCAGAATCCACATGATGGAAGGGGAGAACCAACTCCAACAAGTAGTCCTCTGATTATCACCCATACACCATGGCAAGTAAAACACACACATACACATTTAATACTTATCTATCCCATTTATTAAGTTCAATTATTAAATTCAATGTTACATAAATCATATAACAATTCTTTAACTCATTTATTGTTCATAGCACATTAATTGTTAAGCCTATCAAAATTCTTCTAGAATAGGGAGAGGACAAATAGAATCACCTACAAGTTACAGACTGATAAACTCAAATATTTTTTGGAAAATATTCAACATAGGTCTTACAAGGGAACCAAGCTCCTGAATTGTTGCATGTCAGCTGTTTGGGACTGGCCAACAAAACAGGGCCTAGGCCCAGAGCTGAGGAATTTCACAGGGAAGACATCTTGGTCCACATGCTGCTGGCCAACTTTGTGATTGAAGTCAACATGTAAATCACGTCTGGCTAATCACCTCCATGCATATCCTATGCTATTCTGTGCGAGTTTTAATAAATCTATAGAAGGATTCCAACACACAGGGTACAGCAAGTCAGAATATCTCTCAGTAGTCCAGATATCTGGAGAGTTTAATTATGTAAAGAAAAACCCTCTTCTTTAAGAACAGCAACTTATTTCTTTTCAAAATAGCTGCTGTGGTTCTTTTGCAAATACAAAGTCTGTCTCATCTCTAACTTGGCCGTGAGATAATGCCATCCCACAGAAGCCCTGGTGATCTTGTTTCCTTCTGGCAAACTGAACCCATGTCCTTCTCAGCAGTTTGGCAGCTTAGTAAACTGAATAAAAAAAGTTGAGCAAAAACTTAAAAAAAGTTTGGTGATAAAAACTTACTTTCCTGTTACACTATTTCATACATGTTTTTGCAGAACAGATGTAGTTAAAGGCACCGAAGTTTCATTTTCTTTTTGGGATGAGGATTTTCACTGGCTCAGTGACCTTCCTCTTCTTCCCGGAGCTTTCAAAACTTGACTCAATGTGCACAAAATTCACTCTTTGAATCTGTGAGAATTACCAAAGAGAGGTATAATTCAGCAGAGATGTGACATCTACACAAGACATGTAGAAGACAGGAAGACTAAGCGTGCATAATGGATCCAAACCTGCTGCTCTCCTGTGGTCTTGTTTGGCCTGGCACATAACCCTGCTGCCAGTATCAGAATTTGGCATTCCAAGTTTCAGGACTGAAGTCCCCTGGAGGCAGCCAGTTTCTGGGACAGTGTCTTGGCTCTTTCTAGTGAATTCAGCACATACAACTCTTGAGGGAAGGCTTGTTGATCAAGGTGTGGGGCCAACAAGGAGCAAGTAAGGGTCAAGGGAGATCTAGGGCACTGATTACTTAGAGGCAGACATAATGTAAATCCCTTTTTTAACTAGCAGAGAATACAACCTTGTCTTTTCTGAAACTGTTTAGACAAAGGCTTACAAAGGACAGTGACTCCTTCAGCTGCAGAAAAGGATATATTATTGATTACAGGGGAGCTGATCAGTGAATTATTACTAATCATCAACAATAAGACAATTTTAGTGAAGATCTTAGGGCTTATTTTTGCTCAACTGAATGAGTAAGTGGAGGTATATATGTTCTGCCAGACAACCCCTGATGCCTGGAGTTCCAAGAAAGGTATAAAGGGCATTGTATATTATTCAGCTGCTAGAAAGGAATAACGTCCCCCCACCCCCACATCTTCTGGTGCTGTGGAAGGAAAATGTAATCCAGTATATTTTAAAGCCAGACTTCTCAGAATGAATACAAGAGGCTCCAACATTATCCCTCTTTTCTATTGTAGTAGATGCAGGTTATTATTGATATAGTATAACTGTTGACAGAGATTGCTGCCCTGCCCTATCCCGTAGCCATTCAGCCCCAAATAAACACACAGAAATTTAAATTAATGATAAACTGATTGGTCTGTTAGCTCAGGCTTCTTATTAACTAATTCTTACATCTTAAATTGGCCCATTATTCTTGGGCCATGTGGCTTGGTAACTTTATGAGTGAGGCAGTCCCATCTTGCTTCCTCTTGGTCTGGGTGATAACTGCAGACTGCGTCTTTCTTCTTCCCAGAATTCGCCTGTTCTCATCGCCCCGCCTCTATTCCCTGCCTGGTCGCCCCTCCTATCCTTCCTGCCTGGCTACTGGCCGATCAGTGTTTTATTAAAATACAAGTGACAAATCTTTACAAAGTACAAGACCATTGTCCCACAGCATTTCCTGATGGCCCATATGTCTGAGTTCTACATCCAGAACAACCTCAAGACTGCTGGCCGAAATGATCAAGCCTCACAGGATGGCTTTAATTTCTCATCCTCTTGTCTCCATCTCCCAAGTTTTGACATTTCAGGTGTATATCACTACAGCTAGCTGATGTAGTGAACCTGAGCCACATCTCTAGCCCTGCTGTATTTTTAAACATACAGTAGTTCTTAAGGCGTTTCTTAGCTAAGCATGTTGGCTCATATCTCTAACCCCAGTTCTTGAAAGATTGTAGGATTATTGTAAATTCAAGGCCACCTTGGACTTCAGTGTCTCATAGAGAATAAAACTTAAATCACAAAATTCACATGGGCCTGAAAAAACTCACTTTCTGCTGTGCAGTACTTCACTAGTTTCCATTGTTAATTTAGTAACATTCTCTGCTTAAGAAGCCTAAGAACAGGATTTGCCTTATGCACAGATAAGACAGCCACCCGATCTGCAGTATTTAGATAGCATTGTGAAAGGTCTTTTCTTTGTAAATGACTGTTATACTTCCCTGTATATTCAAAATGCTTTTTATTTGAACATTGTTCCATCTTTTTCTCTTTAGCTGTCTTTTCTGTTTTCTATCCCCCACCCCAGTGACTTTATTATCTCCTAGGAATCAATTACATTTCATAAGCAGCAAGCCCCTATAGTTAAGCATTCAATGTAGACCTCTTCTAAACCCCACACTTGCATGTATATCTAACAGCCCACTATAAGTCTCTACATAGTCATTCCAAAGAAAACCCAACCATACTATGTCTTAGATTGGAATTCATCACCTGCTTCTATAAGCCTTCTTCCAATCTTTGTTTACACCTAAGGTATTCAAGTTAAAAGTCTGAGATTGGGGAAAAGCTCATGAGGCCTCAACCCTAGGCAATGAACTAAAGGTTACTAAGGGATATTGAGTGGGAGAAATAGTCTTCCCCAGGGAAGAGTACACCAACTGGTTATCCAATACCAAATGGTCAGCCCTGAAAACACACATACAAGTAACATTATATGAACTGATCAAGCTGTCTTTATATATTTAAGACTCCATCACCCCACACACATACCCCCACACCCTCACACCCCACCATGCATTCATGTGCCTAATGGCAAAGAAAAAGAGAGCATGAATTTGAAAGAGAGCAAATGGGACGTCTGGAGGAAGAAATGACACAATCATATTCCAATCTAAAAAAAAAAACCCTAAATTAAAAAAAATTGTGATTCAACCATGGCCACCTTGTCATTCTCACTCTGCTATATTAAATCCTGTTGATTTTATCTTAACAGTGTTCAAATCCATCTGTGTGGCCAACAAAAACAAACTTGATGGCATTTTTATAAACTTTTTGTCTCATACTGCTTTGAGCTATTTTTTGTCTGGTTGGTTTTTTGCTTGTATATTATGATTTCTGATTTTGTGTTTCTGTGGTTTTGTATGTGTGTGTTTGTTTTTTGGTTTGTTATCTAAAGAAAGGACGGACTTTGAGTTGAATGGTTAGGGAAGTGGGGAGGAAGGGGGAGGGGAATGCATGATCAGAATATATTATATGAAAAAATTTTCCACCCATCTGTGTTTTTCTACTATATCTAATTTAGTGCAGGCCAATGTCATTTCTTCCCATTTATAGTTGCTGTTTGGCTGACCAACTCTTCAGTCTTCAATATAAGCAGTGTTGTATCCACCTCATCTGACCAGTCATTCTTCTGTATCACTATTCACTCCTAACAAGTCCCCACTCACCAGGATGAAGCTCAGTGTTTTCCTGCCTCGGCCCTTCTCTACAGCTTCCACTTGCCCTCATGCAGATCTCTAAATGTGCCCTTCTCTCCCTTCAGACTCTGCCTTTATGCTCAGTCCTACTATTTTCTCTTCCTTTCATCTGGCACAGGGTAGCCCTACAGCTTCTACTATCTTCCTTGCCATCCTGACAGCTGTACTGTGTTCTTACCCCTTTGTAACATTTACTACAAAGAATTACCAGTCCTTCTTACCAGTCTTCCTCCCAGTCCTTGTGATAAGAAACAATATTTTAGTCATCTTTGCATTCTTAGTTTCTAGCCTCAAGCAGGAACCCTTTAATTTATTCCCTGAATGGAATGAACACATGCAATACTGAAATTGACCAACTGAGTGTGTGTGTGCATTTGTGTTTTTGGAGGTATACATGTATGTATGTGTATATGTACCATCCATCTTGTTTGTCTTTGAGGCAGGGTCTCTTACCGGCCTAAAGCTTATTGATTAGACTTGGCTGGCTGATCAGCAAGTCCTATAGGGATCTGCCCGTTTCTGCCTCCTGCGTCCTGGGATTATAAGCACATACACCATGTATGGCTTTTATTATTATTATTATTATTATTATTATTATTATTATTATTATTATTAAACAAGTGGGTTCTGGGGATTAGACTAAGGTCTGTGTTTGACAAGACTTGTACTGAATGAGATATCTCCCAGTCTTTGAAACTGATGTTTTAGCCAGGCACTAGAATAATATATCTAGTAATATAAAGAAAATAATCAAAGTCAATTTTCAGGATTAAGCTTTGTGAAGAGTCATTAAGCACATGATTACAATATAATACAATGCTATATTATCCAAACAGACATCCATCCTTTCAGCAATTACTGTCTATGACACAAATCTAAGTGAACAAGAGTGATAAAAGTCCCTGTCCCATGGATTGTGTAATCTGATTACATTACTTTTTGGCTTAGTAATTTCCAATGGCATCACTTCAGGTTTGGCTGTCTGCTTGGAAGTAATGCTTCTTTACAACTCCTGTTTCCTCAGGAAAGTGTTCACAGTGCTACACACTTTGGCAGGCCAGGTGAGAGCTTACTGGACCCCTTGAGTGAGTATCTCCTCACTTCTCTGGTCACGTCTGAAATGCAACCTTGTGCTTTGATTTCATACCCCGCTCCCTTTTGATTCTAGTCCTTTGCATGTGATACTTCATCCTAAAATACTTTTTCTTATATCTTCACTTGTAGGTTCTGACTCTGATGAAGAATTATTTCACCAAAGAAATTTTGTCCATCCCTGTGATATCACTACAGACATATATCTAGTTCTCTAGTTTCTAGCTACTAATTAATGCCTCAAGGCATGTCACAGAAACTCAAATCTTCCGTCTTTCTCTGACCTTTTTCTGATAGTAGATGATAGGTAAAGAACAGCAGATATTATCTTCATTTCAGACAGTGATCTGTCTCATAACTGGAAGCTGCAGAGAGAGGTCAACAAGGCTGAACGAAGACATAACAGTCTCCTTCATCTAGTCTGTTAGCATTATATTCCCAAATGAGCCCTTGAGGTTCCTGACCCATAGAGAACATGCAAGCTTTGTGCCCCTTCTCCTATACTCCACCATGGGCACCTTCTAATACCCTTTATAAACATAGTGTGTCCCCACAAATTCTATGAGCCATTCAAACAAATTATTTGAACTTCAGGGAGCTGTGGGAATCATAAATTGTGCCAATGGGTCAGGGGCACAGGAAAAAGAAATATCTGTACCTTGCAACTGGTATCTGAAGTGTGTGTGCTTGGGGGCTCAGGATTCACTTTACATAGACAGTGTCAGAATGGAATTGAGTTAGAGGACACCAGATTGGTTAGAGCAAGCAGAAATGATAGCTTGCTTTTTGGTGAAGAGAAATCCTCATACCTTTCAAGTCACAACAGTCTTCTGCGTTGGAGCTGGGAGATGGCTTAGTGGGTAAAGTACCTGCTGCTCAAGCATAAAGTCCTGAGTT